AGCTGAATTTATTCTACCCAATGTATTTTCCCAATCGTAATTAGCAATAAGGTAATCGAATCTGTCGAAATCTGCATGTTTATATATCCAAACTTAACGTTTATATATAGGTTTTATATCAAATGAGATTTCGACAGAAACAAGACTACCATCATGGTCACTAATAAGTCTATCGATAGGTAAAACAGAAGAATCCAGGTATTTAACTGATTCAGAGAGGAAAATAGGATCTAGTAGACTAGCTCTAGTAGGGCCAATTCTAGTAGGAGAACGGACAACATTATTTAGATCAAAAGTTGTTATTAAGTCAAAAAGAGGATATCTCAATGGTATAGTTAATATCTACATTCAGATCACCGTTTATTACCAAGTTCGGTGAAATATCCAGAGCTTTTTCTATCGAAGAATATATTTCTAAATCAAACAAACGTGCAACTTTTAATTGATCGTTTAAATAAACTAGGACCCCGCCACCAGCAAAATTTCTATCTAAACGAAATGGATCGTGAAAACCTTCTAAAACTAAACATTCGTCTGAGATATTTCCCTCTAAGTGTGTCTCGGTAAAACAAAGAACATCGTACTCTCCTGCTATATCTTCTAGAAAATCAAACTGATTCCTAATGCTTCTTATATTCAGATGAAATATTGATAAATCATTTGGTCCCGGATTAGACTCGACATCCATGTGCATGAGTAATAATAAAAGAAGTACAACTGAAAAATTGATGTTGGTAAAACTAGAGTATATGAAGACAAGTAATGAATACATGTGCTTAAGTACAAGGTTCCCTAACAGTAACATATGAGTAAACAAGGATCTAATACTAAAGATAACTGTATTAGAATTGATAAAACACTTCCCGTAGACCTTATCGTAAAAAATACCTATTGCCATCCTGTAACATATAATATTATTACCCATTATCAAATATGTATCTCTTACAAATGCTTTTCAGGCAATATGGTTCAAAACAGAAATGTACAATCCAACAAGGGTTATACTGGGGAGAGCAACCAGAGGACAGAGCTTGGCAAAAGGCAACAAAAATAAGCAAACAATGGATGAACATATTTACAAAAACATGAGCTGTAAGGGATGAACATATTTACAAAAACATGAGCTGTAGGAACATTAACATAATGATTCCGACAGGGTTCCAGGTTTTCAAAACGGATTTGGATTGGAAAGATGGCAATTATATCTCAGTAACACAACCAACACTAACTACAACAGAATATATGTACATGTATATGTATATAAATAAATAGGGAAAAAACAAAAATTCAAGCAGAGACCAACCAGCGCCCCCGCCTCCCCGAAGGTCCACCTAGGAGAAAGCCCATCTGCAACATGGTAACAACACAAAAATCAACAACAAGAACCGATGACGCCACAATCAACAACGCACCACCGACGTCACAGTCCCCGGAAAAGTAGCCACTGCCGCGCCGAGCAAAAGTACACACACACACACACACACACACACGCACGCACGCACGCACACACACACACACACACACACACACACACACACACACACACACACACACACACACTGAAATTTCAGTGAGTGCATGTTCCCCTGCGCAACGCTACAGCAGTCACCCGCCACAAGACCATGATGTCACAACGTACCTCTCATGACGCCACTTCATGATTCTCGCCGCTGGCCCGTCGTGCCACCACCATGCCACAAATAAACCCTTCCCCGAGGAGCCCTCGTAGCGGCAAAAACGCTTGGAAGTCCCCTCCCGTACCCCTGCGTTTCATCACTTTTTCCCCCTCTTTTTTCGGCACAGGAATATACAAATTACTATATAATTATATCAAGTACACAGTCATTACATCAAGTTGTATTGGTGTTTCAAAACTTGAATAGCACACAACCTACTTGATGTGGATATTGTGGCAAGTGATGTCATAGTCCAGGCCACCGTGGAAAAAAAAAAAAATATATATATATATATATATATAATGCCCGCAGCTAAATCATTCTTTACCAACAACTTACTAATGTCTATAGCACCACTCTAAATAGAACAAACTACGCTTCACTCCGGTCCAATCACTGACAAAAAAGTCCATAAACAATCAGACTTCCAGGCTGCGCTCATCACATCACCACGACTGCCGGGACCATGTCAATTCCGCGAACCACTACCACAAAATAACCACTCAATATAAATCAAAAGGTCTGGTATGAAACGTTAGAACACTACTCACTAACATAACTGTATGATCTGGTACATATAACTACTTGAACAACAACTTCACGATTTAATCGTATATCTTATTTGTTTAAACACATTGTACACACAAAGTTGAAACTCCTGTGTACGGGAAAGTTGTACATACGTGAATACCAACGAACACCAACTTCAGGATTGAATCATACAGTATGCACACACAGTCCGAAACGCAATTATTTTTAAACCACTAGATGAGATTTTACATAATAAGTACCATGCTTACTAATACCAGTATGTGGTACCACTAGATCAGATTTTACATAAAAAGTACCATGCCTACTAATACCAGTATGTGGTACCACTAGAACCAGTATGTGGTACCACTAGAACAGATTTTACACAATAAGTACCATACTAATACCAGTATCTGGTACCACTAGATCAGATTTTACATAAAAAGTACCATACCTACTTATACCAGTATGTGGTACCACTAGAACCAGTATGTGGTACCACTAGATCAGATTTTACATAAAAAGTACCATGCCTACTTATACCAGTATGTGGCACCACAAGAACCAGTATGTGGTACCACTATATCATATTTTACATAATAAGTACTATGCCTACTAATACCAGTTTGTGGTGCCTCTAGATCCACTAGATCAGATTTTACATAATGATTACTATGCCTTCTAATACCAGTATGTGGTACCACTAGATCAGATTTTACATAATGATTACTATGCCTTCTAATACCAGTATGTGGTACCACTAGATCATATTTTACATAATAAGTACTATGCCTACTAATACCAGTTTGTGGTGCCTCTAGATCAGATTTTACATAATAAGTACTATGCCTTCTAATACCAGTATGTGGTACCACTAGATAAGATTTTACATAATGATTACTATGCCTTCTAATACCAGTATGTGGTACCACTAGAACAGATTTTACATAAAAAGTACTATGTATACTAATACCAGTATGTGGTACCACTAGAACAGATTTTACACAATAAGAACTATGTATACTAATACCAGTATGCGGTACCACTAGATCAGATTTTACATAATAAGTACTATGCATACTAATACCAGTATGCGGTCCGGTGTGTTTCTATAATGATAATACATGTCATAGCTGGAAAACAAAAAAAACAAACGTATATATATACGGATTGTGACGGTAAACAAACAGATTTGGGATTTGATTTATTTGAAAGATTTCATTTAATGACCAGATGCACCTTCCGCACTCGGAACATAGGGTGCAATATCATCGTACGACTTTACCACAATTTTCTGCTAGTCCATTCTAACTTTAAAGAAAATTCGTCCGTCGTTCGCCCAGTAGGAGGCAATGTGTTTTGGCTCTACGCTCAGAGAAAGATCACTGATGAGTTTTTGCCTCTGGCTTGTAAGATCTTCCGAAATGAACACATTAAAAGATCCTGATCTGTGGTTTTTGGGAGCTGTTTTAGACATAAACATTTTATTTTTTATCTTCCAGTTCCTGAACCGGCATATAATATGACCTTTGTCGTTTCTAATCTTGCCAGTGATATGTGACTGGTTAATATCCTCAGTAGTAGTGGTGGTGATATGGCAAGTTTCTTATTACATATATTAACAACAAGGTCGTCCGTACGCTGGAGATCACTTTCTGTCATAGGTACACCGTGAAAACGGAGGGACGTTCTCCGGCCATATTGTTCAAGCTCCTCGAGGCCTATCTCTAGAATGTCTACCTTTTCATTCAAAGACTGTACTTCAGCATGGAGTTTACTGTTTTCATTTTTAAGTAAAGAGATTTCGACATGTTGGCGTGAAGAGATATTTTTTATTTCAGTGTTTAACAACGCAGTTTGGTTGGTCAATGGTCCACTAATTCTTTTAACATGGTTTTTAGGGTAGGAGTGGTGGCTTCCGCAAGACAGGGAGCGACTGCTTGAACAAACTCAGTTCTCTGCATTGAGGTTTGAATTAGGTCATGTAGATCAAAAGTTTACCCTTGTGGGTTACTTTCAGATTACTCGCTAGAGAGAGATCTGTCATAGAATTTCTCCTCCTCATAGCTGGGGGAGCATCAGCATTTACTCCATGAACCACTTCATACTCAGATGGACTGAATGTCTGACTTATTGTTCTTTTTTGGCGTTCGGACACTGGAGTGTTTTCAGGAACAGACGACATGGTAGACACAACGATAATACAGTGCTACAGGTTACAAGGCGTATAATGTTATTACGTGCCGACAGGTAAATACAGGTGAAGAGGCACTCAACCATGAAAAACAAATGTTTAATTGCACGGCAAATATTACTTATTTCCGTAATAATATTATCAGTATTGTTCAATATTTCAGCGATTCACAGACAGTTACTGATTCCACATTACCAACCAAACAGCCTCACCGAATCCAAAAGAGGAAAAACACATTTAAAGCGGCAAAACCTAGCAAAATCCTCGGAGCAAAATTCAACCGTCTGTCATAGTCGCCATTCAACCGGAATCCAAGATTGAAGATTGAAGTACCGGCTGCCATTGATTTTGTTCTCTTAAATGACATCTAGCTGTATACATAAATAGAGCGAATCACCCTAAATTGCAGGTTCATACATTATACTTTGGTATACTATGACTTCCAAGTACGTGGAACTAAAAGTTTTAAATATACTTTTATGCTTTTCTAGACGCATGGTAATATTAAGTTGTTGATAAAAACATATTAGTCAATTACGCTTTTCCTCTATTTGGTAGGTATGTTGCATTTCATAGCCATTTATCACGGCCCCTTCTGTCTATTTAACAGCATGACGATTAACTTGATATAATTGGAATCCAATGGATACAACATCACTCAACACTATTACGAAACCTATACTCACTATAAAAACCACACCTACTACACCTATGTACGTTGATGAAGTGCGTCCATCTTCTGCACATTCTAACTTCCTAGAATATTTTGTTAATTTATACCTATCTAATTTAGTTAAAGAAAGTAGTTCCTGAATCCGTAAGTGAAGTGTTTTGTTTTGTAAGTGGCAGACACAGCTACAAAACTCGCCATTGAGTACGGTTATATTTTGAATTACAGTGTTACTGCTCAGTGTTGTAGAAGAACTTAGATTTTCGTCACTTGTACTCAGCTCATATGCACTGTTGCTTTGCATATATACAACTGAGTATAAAGAACTTTTGGTGTCCGTTTGAAGTGACCACGATATGTAGTGTGTCCTCAATGATATATCTGTGTCATGAAAGCTAGCTGTTTCAGTCAACGTCCTATAATTTGTTAAATACATATCTTCATTCGTGGTAGCTACTGAAGTCATTGACGACGTCAATAACACTGATGAATCTGGTATTGTCGAAATGTCATACATTTGTGTTGTTTCAAATGAAGTTGGAGCAGGTGTAGTGAACGAAGGTCTAATCACAGGAGTATAGAGTTCAGCGGATGTTAGAGGACTTTCAGACGTTGAATATGCCGGTGGTGTGATCTCATCTGGAAAAAATACTAATTTTAAAGAGAAGTACGGATACACTAATTAATTGGGTGCTCTCAAAAATATCAAGCTCTCTATTAACAAATGATATTTTCTTCTGGAATGAATGTTAACAGAAACAAAAACCAAAGCAAGATGTGATTATAATAACATTTCAACTATCTTAATGATCAAGTTAGCGTGAAATGGTACCTCGACTAATTACCACACTCCTAAGCGTTTTCATGCTGAGATTTGGAAATATGTAAAAGCCAAAATCTGTAGAAAAGCACACCAAATTTTACTATAGTTTACTATAATTTACTGTAGTTTACTATAATTTACTATATGTTAACCTTTATCGACTATGCTGTTTGTATTGGTATTTCCGAAAACTCTTTTTCGCATTTTTGGTATAGAATACTGTTACGTTCAAACGAGATGCAAAACATAAAATCAGTTTCGTAATTACAGTGTTTTGTTTTGTAAAAAGACACATCTAAACCCCTATAAAGCCTCCAAGACGCATAAAAAATTATGCACCACTGTTTGCACTAGGACCAGTAGAAATAACGATGAAAGTCGTCACAGTTACAAACTGAAGGTTCTTTAGATATTACGAGGTTAGTTGATTCAATATTGCAGACACCAAGACTCACCGGATATACTGCTACAGACTTTGAGATACGAAGACGTATCGTTGGTAATGTACGAATGTGATGTTGTAAGGCACGAGTATTTCCAACATTCTAGTCTGTGTGAGGTAATTGTCACACCCAGGCAGTGGTCTGAAGCACTACACAGGGATTTACAATCATCCTCCGAATTTACTTGAAAAGCTTCAAATGAACCACAATTACCAATAGTTTGGTTCCCTGCATCTTCATAGTATGATACATCTAAAATAAATAGAAAGAAAAGAATAACCATGTATATCATAAAACCACTTCATTTAAGATTAATTGACGTTCTTCTTTTGATCCTAGTTCAATCATCGCTACAAAAATTATTCAACAAATTAATGCCAACGTTATCACAAATATGCAAAGCGTGTTTCAAGCAGTATTTTTATGAGAAATCCAAACGCAAATGAAAGTCACCTTACCCTCACAAGAATTTGAGTAGAATGTAGTGGTTGTTGTACTCGTTTTCTTATATTTGTATTCACTGCATATTGATAACTTGCAAGTAGCCGGCATCGTTGACTCGTCGTACTCAATACCTCTGCATACAGAATTCTGGGTACACATTTCTTGACAGTGTGCAAGAGAAGACGGTGGATCCGTCGGAATGAAAGCGCATGCAATTCTACTTTTGAGGCCTTTTCCAATATAAGTGCAATTCCTTGCCACTGTCAATAAACGAAAAATGAAATGGAAATCATGACACAGTGGTACATGATATCTCAGCATTAATGTACATGAAAATGTTAAAAGAAAAGAGAGAAAAAAAACAGTCTTAAAATTAAGTTAATTATATCGAGAAACCTACAAGGAAAACATCTTATCGTTGTAATATTGCAAATCTGTGTATTTTCAATCAAACCATTGGGTTAAAGGTTATTTATAGTACATAATGGTGTGGAAATGCTCCCTTTCTCCTGTTAGCAATTGGCCTACGTAAAAATCATATCATGAATGCTGCTCATTGAAGCACAAGGTCTCTGTCACACGTTGGGTGATCATGTAGTTGTTTACATCATGAACACTCTGGAGATTATTCCATTGTCACAATCAATTTATCAACATAATCAATGAACATCACTTCAAAACCAAACACTGGTTTTGATTGCCATTGATTTACTCAAGTGGTGAAGAAGCATATCTTACATACTCTCAAATCTTGAACAAACAGTCAATATGATATATTTATCTGTTTTGGAGCAAAGCGCTCAAAGACATAAAAATATAACCTGTTGTGCGGTTTTTGTGTACATGCCATTAATCTCCTTCATTTAACAAATCACTTTTGTGAGAATCAAGGTATTGGGAAGCAATGAAATTAAAAACGATCAGCTGATTAGTAATGAGTGACCTATTAAGAAAGATAATTATTTAATACAATACTATATGTTAGGTAACGACAAAATCTATATTATCTGCAAAATATGGGGACAGATGTACATCAATGTTTACAAAAATACAAACATCGTGATCATGTTTCAAGTACCTGTGCAAATGAAAACAAAAATATTTGTCAACAAAATCTTAGTGCAAACTAAAAAGCGATGACTTAGGGGAGAAGTGAATTTAATATCAAACTACAACATTAGTAGGTATATTTGACAAGACCTCTTTTTCGATGAAGACACCCGTCGTTAGATATTGGAAAATCCAAATCATTTTAACTAATTTCCCGATTAAATTATGGTAGGCACTATAACAATACTTCCAGTCTTCATCAGTCAAACACCAAGGCTGCGAGTTTTGTCAGTTGTCAATTTTTTCCACGGCAACTGTTATTTAAGGAATATCGAATCCATTATTACATGCAAGAACCGTAAGTTGGGGAAGCAAGATATTTACAATATAAAATGGAAAATTGACGGTATTGAAAACGAAATAACCAATCATAAACAGCGGTGTGGAAACTATTGGTTTCGTTTTAGATGACCAAGAGAAAGCTGCTCGTGTCGTGCCCTGACATTCTAATGTTGTTGGTGATATATGAAGGACGAGGGCAATCTTCTATTGTTATTCAAAGACAAGACATCAACAATGTAAATTCTGCATTGTATGGTAATAGATCTGAGAAGGGAAATAAAACCCTGAAACTATAACAACACCGATTTGATTATAACTGATGGTAAAGCTGACCTTTACTCAACAGACATCAATGTGTATTTATTCGAGTATGTTCACTGCAAGTGAAATATAATTATCTTAAGGCAATATAAATGAATTTTATGTATTTCAACTGAGTGTAAAACTAAAATGTAAAAACTGGTTCTTACCGTTTTTCTATCGCTAATTATATCAACGACTTATTAACAATAACATACGTCTGTTGAATTACGTTATGGATAACAATTTTAATATCCCATTGAAATGTAAGTAATATTATTGATACATTTCAATTATTTCGTACCTTGTTTTGATAAAAACCGTAGATTGTTGTTAAGGCTAAACATGGGTTTACTACAGTGTTGGAGATAACATGTCATGTTAGCTGTACGGGTTGTCACTCCCTCACATCCCTCAGTCGTCTCACACGAATGAAAACATTCGCTTTTGTCAGATACCAGCAGCGCTTCTTCTTCAGTGTTCGAACATATCTCACTGACATTTGTCGTCGGTTGAAAGTCACATGTAACATCTACAAATAACTGGTCAACATTAATCAAAAACATAATTTAAGTGTCACAGAGCTGTTCATAATAGCGTAAACAAAAGTAACGTGCAACAACAAACACATCACCTACACACATTGACTCAAACAATGTTATGGAGCATTATACGCGAGAAACTATACATTCAAGAAACATTGAATCCTGTCTTTTAATACCAGTTCTGTCATTGGTTTAGTTGCTAATATTTTCTTGTGTTTTTACAATGTTTCAATGACTTCTGAATTGCACTGATAACTACTTGCGTGCTTTCATCACAGAAATAACAAAAGTTGTTGAAAAGAAATCGCTATGATTAACGAATATCAACTGCTAACTGACTTTTTTCTGTGTTGGTTTTTGTTCAAGTTTGAATATGATTGGGTTTCCATAAAATGTTAACTCTAGCCTCCTCTCCCTCAAAACATCCTAAACTCAAGTGTATTGCATAGCTATTGTTTGAATATAATATTTACACGCAAGTTGCTGAATTTAGATATAATTCAATTATTCGCTGCTTTTACGGAAAATGCAGCTTTTAGATTCGTTATTTTCCTTTTTACTTCCTTGATGAAAAAAAATCTAGCTTTGCCCGATCGAATATGATTGAAGGAGTAAAACGCAAATCCTTTTTTATCATCTACAGAAACTTCCTTTACTACTCCTCGTATCGGATGTTATAGATCACTAGTAATTTGAAGGATTTCATCGATTGCTACTCATCACTTGGCGTGTATCTTCTGGACTGACGTCTCATTCTTCAATCCATTGCGTTGCAAGTTTAGTTTGAAAGTGATGGGGAAAGTCATGAATGGATTTAAATTACTGAAAGTGGCGCAAATCAGCTGTCAATGACGTCACATATGATAGCTCTTATCTGTAGTGATTTTCTAAAAAATAATGAAATTAATGTACTTGTGATTTTTTGGATTTTTTTTAACGTATTTAAAAAAAATGAGTTAGAAGCTTTGATGTGAATATTTTTTAGTTTCATACTGGTAGGAAAGAAAAACCTATTGTAAAATAAGCATACATTCACTTTGAATTAAACTCAAAACTGTTTCAATGTACGAGTAAATGTTCCATTTTATGATTGTAAACTGATACTCGTCGTTTTTGGCACAGGCATAGGTATCAAGAGAGTAGATAGACGTAAGTGCGATTCTGGATATACAGGTGTTTTTTATTTAAATTAAGCCGCACATTGTCAAAACATGATTAACAAATATCCCGAGTATCGAAGTATGTAGATGTTATTGACTCAAATTGTCACATTTGTTACCAAGTTCGGGGTATGGGTCCCCAACACTTCATGAGATCCCAATATGAACCAGCAATTACAGTCACACAGGAAATAACAGCTATGTATATTTCCTTGACATGTGCATCTCCGAACTGGGTAGATGCAAAATAAATATTTCTTGCATTAGATCAGAGTAGTTTCATAGCTTCCTGATAATGTCCTAGACTGTGTTACATTGCTTTACTTAGGGTTTACGCAATTAGTTGATAATCATGTAAATTTGAGTGTATGGATAGCAATTGATGATATATATATTAAGTGTATGTAAAATAATTCTTACCGGGCCATGTGTAGTTGTTTTCTGAAGAAATAAAAATGAAATAAAACATTCATTACATTCATATATATGAATCTCGGATCCTAAAATCCTATGTATCAATAAAGCCATTCTTCCGTAGTATTTTAACCACAAGAGAACATTTATGGAAATATTTAAATTAAAAAAATAAGTATTTTGTAAATTTTGTATATTTATGTTCTCGAACGCAGCAGTAATGTTCATCTTTATTCATTATGTATTGACATTTAACTGCTAAGCAATAACATAATGCTTTCATCCTTGATAAAGATAATAAACCTACCCTGTATAGGAGTCTCTATCCTACGTTCTGGTGCTGAAATGGTATACAAACTGATAAAATAGTATTTTGAGAACAAATGTGCTATATAGTGTATTATATGGTATCAGAGGACTGCTACATCGAAAAGTAAACTATCACTTGCCTTACGATTGAATATTTTCTATTCGAGTCGAAAGTGTTTTTTCGTAACCATATAAGGTCTACAATACGCCTCTTTGGAAAGACACATGGCTATTGTTTGGTCAAGATCAGTATGTTTTCTTCCTTAGATAAACCAATAAAACACCTGTCTGCCGGCACAAAAAATACAGCTGTTAAATAAGTAAGAAAATAACCTGAGTGAAAATCACGTATATTGATTGCTTACAGCCGGGATAATATAACAATAGCATGCCCCATAATCATGTAATCGACTAGAGGGGCATGATCTCCGGCTATAATTAACATAGTTGTGAGGTAGAAAGGTAACTTTATCTACATTCACTTTGATATTGCGAACACATCAAATTATTCTTCGATAAACAAATAAATAAAAGAACATTATCGCAGTTTTGTTTAAAGTTAATTCACAGTTATATTTCTAAACTGCTCAGCATTCTATGTTAGCTGAAATTTTTTACAAAATTAATTTATTAGTTTTCTTAGTAAAGTTATTAAATATTGTAAAATTGATAGGGTATGTACGTTACGATTGCATACATGATAGTAATCTGACAAATAGATGAATTCAGTCAATTATCAGGTTATCTGAAACCCAGTTTAGACCTAGTTTAAATCAACTTGTGTCCAAGACGAAACAAAATGATGTGTATATTATTTGTCGTCTGATATTTCATTGGCAAACATACCTGAATTATTTAATGCAGAAATGTTAGTGATTTGGGGTGTCTTTGAGTAAAACGTAAATTCTGAATAATTTGTCATATTCATGTAGTTTCCACAGGAATGTAAAGTACATCGCAGCCTCTTTGATATAGTAGTATACCCCTGGCAATCGGCCTTATTCAGACATCGTTCAGCGCACTCTGTATTTGACAAAGAGTTTTTAGTTTCCGTGGGCGAACATCGGCCAACTCTGGACGAGCCATGTCCATTAAAGAGACCTATAAAATTAAAGAATTGGCAGTGGGACAAGAAATTGCAGAAAATCAATATAATATACCGAAATCAAAAAAACATATTCATAATGATTTATCTTTGAAGTATTATCATTAAGCTCAGCAATTGGTAATTGATTTTAAATGCATTTATAACTTAATACTTTCTATGAAAAATCAATCACACAGATAAAAACTGATCACTATCTATATGACAAGGAAATACAAAGTGAAGAGAGATATTTTGTAGATAGGGGAACGGATGCTATTAACGACACTAATATTTTACACCAGATATATGTTAAAGCTAACATCCCATCATACTCCCAATACAACAATACTCCTACCATTTCCCTTGAGCGTTTAGGCAATTGTTACCAACCTCCTCCTAACCCGATTCCAAATTTTAGGAATGCCTTCTTTCATGAGAGCGTTCCTATCAAAGAAAGGTGATTGCAGCACAAATATATGGGTTGGAACTAAATTTAACCGCATTTCGACGAAATACACCTTGTATTTGAATTGTTTTTGTTAACAAACGAGGCTGAATTTATAGAAATTGGTTACAAAAACCTTGCAAAGTCCTTCAATCTTACTCTCAGATATAATGATGATGTTTTGTCTTTGAGTCGGAAGAATATGGAAATCAAGGACGTGAAAGACTCTGCTACATAACAGATTACCTCGATCTTTTCCGAAAAAATAAGAAAATAGAGACAGTTTTCTACCAAACTGTATCATTATACCTTTTCCCTGTTTAAAAAAAATCCACTACTAGAGAGAAACAACCCTTCGTTCCCGACCTAGTGTGTTAACATGTCGAAGTGGATTTTATATTCAAGGGTTTGTTCTTAGTATCACGAGCTTCGTGGAAATGTTAGCAACTGACAAACAAAATCATAACTCAGGGTTTCGGGAGATTCAGGTTGAGCAAAAATGATCGGAGCTTTTATGATCTTCAAAAACCCCTAAAAATGCAGACGGAAAATAGGACCGGGTGTTTCGAAAGGGTTAAAATCTTCTTTGTTTCATCGACAAAACCCGCCACGTAAGTCCCGGTTACTTCAGGTGGGCAATGCACTATTCCGATCCAGATCCAGATTAACAACAAGGAAGCCACAAGGCATACTTAGAACATCAAACACGTCCAACTTTTACTTTACAAGGAAATAAAATATATCCCTATCAAGTCATTATGAACGATAACCCTTTGATCGTCATCAACCTGCATCTCTCGAAACCTTGCGTTGTTATTTTATCTGTCAGCTGTCAATACTTTGAACAAAAATATTGTGATGATGAAAAATGCCTTTCAATATCGAATCAACTACGACTTGTAAATAGCATGGTTTGGGGAAACAGGTATGTTGCTATCTAGAGGACATTGCCCGCGCATGTCTCACAATGACCATCAATCTTAACATGCAAAGACATTGGACAGGAGGGCAATAAATTTGTCAGCTTCAATCAATGAGCATTTTCATCCCCTTTTTCTGATAATTTCACAGTGAGCCAAAATTGAGTTTGAAATATACTTTTCGAAATGGCAGCTATTTTTGGCAAATCGATATATAACTGTACTTGATGAAGGATCAATAGTACACGTGCTGCAACTGGAAAGCTTCTTAACGTGACTGTCAATACATTATCCTTAGTGATCACAGAAGATTTGAGACAAACCCAAATCAAAAGTAGTAAGTCTAAATATTAAAAAAGATATAACCAATAACTTTGAAGCAAAGAATATATAGAACCAGAGGCCAAGGACTGAACTCTTCTACAACCATCAGAAATCCTGACCAATTCAAATCACATTTCACTTTGCAAGTTGGTCAAGCTCAGTCATTTGAATAAATGTGGCAGCCTTTCATCTAATTATTTAAAAGGCCCAATATCAACAAACTGGATAATTTGGTTAATGAGAAATCGTTTAATGATTGTAACACATATGATCCATTCGACCTTCAAAAAATGTCAAGGTCAATCATATGAACAAAATTTCATCTCGTCATAACAGGCCTAATATAAGCACCATATGCCTTTTGGCTATTGAATTGGAGTCAGATGATCCAACAAACAATAATTATGTCAACATGTTATAAATTGACGGCAATGGCCTTTATATAGATATTATGGCTGGACCGAAAGCATGCTTGATACCGGTCATTACGACCCCACAGTCTAGTTGTTTTAGAATATCAGTGTACATGTATTCCGATTCCCAATTCCCATGCGGTATTTACTGTAAAGAAAGAGAAGAATTATACAGAAAATAAAAAAAATCACACCTGTGCTATTTTTTGAGTAGAAAGATATGTTTTCGTCATTAAAAGTGGCGGATTCATGACAAGAATGTAAATAACACCATCCCCTGCTTGTTGGTCTGACTGTGACACCCTGACAACCTCTTTTCCGTATGCATGCAATCTGGCAGTTTAAATGTGTATCGGTATATATAAAGTATCTAGTCCTCCAAAATGAACACGTAGCTCTTGTCCTTGGTCCAGCAGTAACAAATTGGTTATACGGTTCTGTGTAAAAGAAAGTAAAGTCATAGATAAAGCTTCTGATGAATCAGAATGATTCTGATGAATTCTTTCAGGATACCTTGTCTTATCATGACTGTTCTTAAGATAAAGTTGAATTTGTGTATTCTCTTTGCTGTTGCTACACCAGTTACGATACCAACATTTTAGAAGGTGTTTTGATCAAATGTGTTTTCTTAGTAACCATACAAACTGTACTTCGCAACCGTATAAAAACTGCTTAATCAGCATCAGCTTTTGAAAGTTTGAAATTGAACAAATAGCAATTGTTACAAACCACAACGCTTCGCGTGGAACGATGTCTCAGTATTATTCTGTGAGATGTAGCTGTCAGAACAGTTATGGAGGTGACAGGTCAGAAGGTGATTTTTCTGGAACGTTACTCCCTGACAACCAGGTGAAACATCACATAGACTTTGACACATACGTAAGCTTGAGTTCTGAAAGACAACGTCAGTGACGTCATCACTGCAGGATCCCATGGTATCGACTCCATGGTCTTCATAGTAACAATCTGGAGTAAAAGTTGTTTCTGAAGGAAATGCAATTTTTTTCTGTTAATTTCTGTCGTTGAGATCGGTTGGAAGGGCGCGTGATATAAAGTACATACCCTTACATTTAAATGATTGCTAGCAATAGCATAACAGATGGAATTTATATCGTTCTTGGTGTTACTGGTGTATGCCTGTTGGCCCGTGTCCGTTAGGTCGAGCATATTGTTTAAATAAACAAAATATGCTTATATGAATTTCGTACCTAATAACGAAGCAGTTACGGTTATGACTTGGCTTCGTTAATAATCATGGTTACCTAATTTTTATTTCAAAGGAACATAAGTAATGACAATACTTACCTAGTTTTTCATCAAAGATGAACATCCAATCTCCTGAAATGTAATGAGTAATGTTGAGGGTGGATGTCATCGAAATATTAAAACTCTTCAGTAGCTCACACTACTGGGAAATGTTTCAAGCTAACTTATTTCCTATGTTCATGTTGATCGGGCGATTGTGGCAAAGCCATTTATGGATATCACGATAATGTACCCTTTTATTAAATCATAAATCTCAATCATCAAACTGGTTTCAATAGGAAATGGAAGTTTAAGACGTCATTTACACCATTTCATAATGGTGTTTATAATACATCACATACAGACGGTTTCTTCACATTAACTTGAATGTGAAAATCAGTGCGGATTCATGGTGTTGAAGATATTACACCGCAGCAACGCACTAGCCATTCCTCAAATTATAACACAATGGTATGGATTATGTCTCTTAATTTACCTGCACATTCATAAATGTAAAACAATGTTGAATAGTTCGTGTCAACAGATGTTGTACAGTTGAACAAGAAACATAAGATTCTCGATTCAAGCGTCAGGGCCAAACATTCGTCGTTACTTGTGCAGGCATTGAGACACTCATTACGTGTTGTCACGTAAAGTAAAGCCAGTGGTGATGTGCAGTTAGCATCCAGACCGTTTCCTTCAATTCTCATGTAACAGGAATCGCCTTTAACAGTAACGCAAATGATTTCAACATCTTTTTATAAAGCAGGGGACCTCATGTCAATACTCTAGACAACATATGCTAACACGATTTTTATGTAAGAGGTAAAGGACCATTTTATTCCCTTGAATCAGCTCTATAGAGTCCTTCCTCGTAACAGCCATGGCAGAGGAATAACATATTCAATTCAGATCATCAGGAAGATAACGTTCCGAAATAACAAACATGACATTGCATCGACAATAAATTCTAGCGATGTAAACTTATATATATATATATATGTAAATAAGGAATACACTGTATCATTTACCACGAAGACATGATTTCACCAACCTGAGCACACTTTACGGAAATAGGTAGAGTAGAAAAAGCCTGAACCCACGAAGCTCTGACAATGATGTAGATAACAAATATACTGATCTGAGTTCTCAGCAAAGCTCCGACAACCTTCGGTGGATTTACAGTCGCGGAAACAATTGGTGTTTGAAATCGAAATGGTCCCGTTTTCAATCAGAGGAGGACAGCTTCCAGTCTTTCCACGTTGTGGTATGGAATCACAATCACCTTTAAAATCTAATACATTGATTTGCTTTTACCTAGAGACGACATATTTGATATGCTAATCCAAAATCAAGTCCTTATATGTTAATCAAAATACAATATATCCAAATATATGCCATCATGTTTTGACTAAAAACACAAATTGATACAGTTACACAAACATCTGTCATAAAATACCTTTTTATACCGATGTACCACATAATTTATCTTCTACCTTTTTACTTTAATTTATTCAACTTTCAGGCCATTGTGTAAATATGGCGGGTGTTGGATAAATAAAAGTGATATTCCATTAGTGGTATATGGCCTTCCGGATACATGATTGGTGAACTTTGGCCCGAACTACCTTTTTCACTCACGTGATTTGTTCCAGTTGCGATTTGTTTACTATCGTCTGCTTGATAGGCTTGAGGTGAATGTAGGTGACAAAGTTAGGTTATGTAATGGGGATAAGGGTGTAATCCGGGCAATTTCAAAAGCAGATAATAATATTGGGTTTGATCGTGTCCAAATGGAGCTTAATTCCGGAAAGACTGTTACAGAAGCCATGTATTGTTTCGACGTGATACCGGCTTGTCCGGGCCGCGACATGATTTTGTCCCATACTTTGTATGAAACCGTTACTATTTCCCGAAATATCGATACTCAAAACGGTTTGTCTGACGATTCCCTTGACAATTTTGATATAGATGGATTTATAGCGTCGGAGGTAAACAAGAACACAAAGAAAAAACTGACAATGACGTCAAGAAAGTCCATTGATACCTTAAAAACGTCCTTAGAGAAGTGCGGCCATTTGAAATTATACCCCCTGCGCATTTAAACAAATTGCTGTGTATATTTTTCATGAATGTGCGAGATCTAAATGGCCAGAAATATTAACCTGCTTCCATCAGAAGTATAGCCTTAGTTTAGATCGATACCTGAAGTCGAAACATTACGGGAAACAAATTTCAATAAGCTCCGAGTTTCCTAATGTTATGGATGTTATCCGGTCTAAACAAAAAAAACTGAAACGTGAGGGCAAAGGGAATCGTGAAAACAGGGCTGATGCTATATCTGATGACGAGATTGACAAATTATACGAATCTGGACAGCTAGGCTGTAGTAATGTACAATTTGGTTGAACAATACGGTATATTTTGGAATGCGCGCGTGCCTGGGCTACCACCGACACCCATCAAGATGCCATGTCGCCGCTTATAAAACCTTCCAGGCACATCGCCCGCTTACGTACTGTAACCCTGACGCCCCCTACTATATCGCAACTAATACAAACTGTGACAAATCAAGCAAGTGGTATAAGTCTCATCCAGTAGGCGTTAACAAACTAGGGACTTTTGTGAAGACTATGGCAGAGAATGCAGGTAAATGATATTGGAATGTAAACAAAACCCAGTGGTTGCGTGTGTGCTTACAAATGCATATGCTCCTCTCCCTTTACGTCAGTTTACGTCATTGATACAATGTAGTACAATGCATTTGTAATGTTGCACTTGCTTACACCTAGGTCTAACATTGTAGCCTATTTCATAATTTTAGTCGATTGAATTCAAAATTAATCTTTTGAAAATAATTCCAGCCCAAAGTAATACATTTCTTTCATTATTTCGGATGTCGGAATGGTGCATATATAGGTCTAAATTAAATTGCTTGTTATTTATTCAGTTCATATTCAGAGTTTATATTTATGCCTGTTTTTATATAACCAGGTCTAATGAACAAGTCAGGGAGTAACAATAACGGAAAAAGACTGACAAACCATAGTGCCAGGAAGTACCTTGCACAAAAACTCAATGACAAAGGATTACCCCCATATCGGATTATGCAGGTACAAACTATTTTCACATTGAAATATCTCAACTTGATCATTAAGGCCTATAATCGTTACGAGTAAATGAACACTTACCTTGCTCAATGAAATTAAATCCCAAACAGTTTAACACTAATATAAATTTATAAAAATCTCCTGCTTTCATAATGCAGGGTAATGCATCACTGTCAGGCTTGGAGTAGACAATAACTAGATTTCTAATCCCATTGGTCATATAAAACTTTGCCTAGTTATGTATTTCTTTGCATCCTCAAGATTTCCGGGTAGAAGAATATCCAGAGTACAGTTACTCAACTTAAACACAAACCATCACCGGACGATTTCAAGAGAGATATCGTCATGGTTGGATCATGTTGGTGACAGGCCTTTCACTAGGGCTAATAGCACATCTAGTGCAAGCGAAGTCATCGTCAGACCTCCAAATCCTGAATCAAATGTGTCTGCAAATCCAACTGGTGTCCTATCTTCAGTATTTGCAGGTCCTATTCATGGTGGTTCATTCACAATAAACATTTACAACTCAAACGTCTGTAAACGTCCCAGACCAAGGGTGCTGTAATCTGATTCTGACAGTGATTGAGTTTGAAGTTTCCGGCGGGAACCCGATGACACCACTATATGTGTGTGTATAAAAGCGCGCCTAATTAATCCGCGATTTTCTAAGATTATATCGACAGTTCAAGTTTATAAGACAACTAATCGTCATGGTATTATTATGTGTAAATAATAAAGAAATAAATCATTTATCATAATATATATTTTTTAATATTGATTGGAGCCTTTTCACTCCGAGTGATATCTCTACGCAACATTTGCATATGTCAGCAAATTGTTTACACACGTATACATGTGTTGGTCTTAGTCTACTGCCTGTGATCTCGAAATAAGAATGGTAGAAACAGATTACAAAACCAGTGGTTATTGGATATGGATTTTATTTCACTCGAGTTAGTTATTTTTTAAAAGTTACAAAAGACACTCACTATTAAAAGCTCGTGTCTTTTGTAACTTTTAAAAAATAACTAACTCGATTGAAATAAAATCCGTATCCAACAACCACTCATGTGTAATCTCTGTATATACCACCTAAGGATGACGTATATATTTAAACGGCGATATTGTGTTTATATAAACTGTACCCAATCCGTTTTCGTGGGCCTTTTTAGAGGATTACCGTAGGCAGAATACAAATTAAAGTAGTCTAAAATATATTTAACCATTGAACGGATAAATATATTTCCAAATCTATGCCTATAGATAATAGAACTTGTTTACGAAACATATATTTGAAAGGTAAGTACGTGATGTATGGTTTAATATGAAAAGCGATCTGGTTAGATGAACACATGGTAATTCGTTATACTTATTTATACAATAAAAGGGACGACACCTACCTGTTTGACTTAGGGTAGTTTCAGTAGAAACTGCCGATACTACCTGAAATTGAACCAATTTAAGTGCTATAAAAGTCACTAATTTTACAATCCGATATATCAATTTCACACTCACATTATTTAAAGCCGAAATAAATATTTCCTACGGAATTAATCCAAAATGAAATATTTATATAAATACATGAGACATCAATTAAACCCAGTGTACGTAATTACATACCCACTATGCATTTATACTCTTACAAAACATAATGTAATAATAATGGTAAAATGAAATCTGACGTAGATTAATATCACATGCATGAATAAAATAGGATGTCTACAACCTTTCAGACTAATATGTGTTAATTTAGATCACTTACTATACACAAACAACGCCTTCTGTCGATAACCCTTCAGACGTCAAAGTATTCAAATTGTTTGCTTTACATTAACAAACACTATGTAAATACGTCATTATGAATAATGATGTAAGAACCATTTAACAATATTATCACAAAAGTTTCACATTAAAGGTACAATTACAAATATCCAAAGAGGATTAGAAAACAAACAAGAAGTTTTATCAATACCAATGTTTATTATAACAAAACTGATATAAATGGTTTCCGATTCAGTTA